GCTGGGATTACAGGCATGAACCACTGCCTGGCCCCGTTTGAATTTTATTTTATTTTATTTTTATTTTTTTGAGTTGGAGTCTCACTCGGTCGCCCAGACTGGAGTGTAGCAGCCGCTCCCGGCCACCGCAGCCTCGACCCGCTGGGCTCCGGCGATCCTTCCGCCTCAGCCTTCTGAGTAGCCGGAATTACAGGCGCGTGCTACCACGCCCAGCTGATTTTTGATTTATTGTAGAGATGAGGTCTCACTGCCCAGGCAGGTCTCGAACCCACGGGCTCAGGCCATCCACTCACCTCAGCCTCCCAAAGGCGCGGGATGACAGGCTGAGCCCCCGAGCCCGGCCCCATTTGGATTTTAAAGAAAGGTTTATCATCTCTGTATTAGGTCGATGCATGAGTTCATAGTGTTTATTTTTGCATGGCAACAACACTGTGGTGTTGGGAGTTTGCTGTTTGTCATTTGGAGTGACAATATTGTGCTTGGGAACACACCTTGCATTTTGCAGGTGTGAAGAAACTTAGTGCTATTTGTGGGCTAAGGAAGATGGGTGTCCAGTGGGGAAAAACGAACCCTTCTGAAGTATTCTCCGTTTTGAGTTGAATAAGGAACAAAGACAAGGCGGGCCGCTGAGACAGTCATCCCGTGTCCCGGGAGAATGCCGTCAGGAAAACACGGCCAGAAGAAGGCTCTGTCATTTCAAAGAGGGCCACTTTGACCTGAGGTCTTCTCCACGCCAGGAAGACCATCAGGTTTTCGTGAAGACTGTTTCACACTTTAATCCACAATGACCCGTGCCAGTCGACCCGGAAATTGGCAGACGTGACGCACTGTGGCCAGCCAGCCATCGTCGACGTTTGCATTCCATGGGTGCATGGAAAAAGGCGACAGGCGCTATGAACTTATGCATCGGCCCAATAATTAGGCCAAACTGAAAACACCCATTAACGTTTAAAAGGCAGTGGAGGCCGGGCTCGGTGGCTCAGCCTGTCACCCCAACACTTTGGGAGGCCGAGGCGAGTGGATTGCCTGAGCCCGCAGGTTCGCGACCAGCCTGGGCAGCTTGGCGAGACGTCGCCTCTACAATAAATCGAAAAATAAGCAGGATGTGGTAGCACATACCTGTAGTTCCAGCTACTTGGAAGGCTGAGGCGGAAGGATCGCCGGAGCCCAGCAGGCTGACGCTGGGGTGGCCACGAGCAGCGTGCCACTGCACTCCAACCTGGGCAATGGAGTGGGACTCTGACTCAAAAAATAAATAAATAAACAAAATAAAAATAAAAGGCAGTGGAAGTACTGATCTCAGCAACCGCGTTCTCCTCGAGGTCTAGAAAAGCCGACAGCCAAGACCAGGGATCCAGGTGTGCTGGGAGGCACACGCACTGGCAACGCACGCCTTCTGCTACAAGCTGAGCGCAGACAGACCTGCAGGCGGTGACCTCGGGGACTTGCTCTGCCCTCAGTAAGCTATGGATGTGTCTGGTGCTCCCTGGAAACTGGGTGGAGGAGACGCATGCTGGACCCGTCGGCACCGGTGCTGGCCAGAGGGCCCTGTCATCAGCGTCCCACCAGTGTCAGCAGGGTACCGCATCTGCGTCACCTCCGGCAGCGTCCCATCACATCGGGCTCCTCGGTCCGGTTCTGCCACCGACCCCTGCCCATCGTTCCTCTCACCAGCCCTTCTGAAGGCTTCCTTCGCAGGTTTGCTCTGCATTCTTGCCCTGGGCGAGACGTCCTGACGCCTTCTGCTCTCTCACTCCTTTGCTCCCCCTTGCAAAGATTTGCTTCAAGTCAGAGCAAGAGCAAAGTCCTCTCAGGCGCATGTCTGACAGGGGCCTAGAGGCCACGCATTCTGTGTCAGCTCTCTGTGCATACCCAGAACACCATGAAACGAGAAAGTGCAGCCCATTGGGTTCTTTGGTCACAATCTCTGGAAGGACATTCTGCTGACAGAGCGTGTATGTTCTTTTTTCTTTTTTACTTATGTTTTAAGTTACAATTTTGATAAATGATCTGTTGTTATTTATATCCATAAAGAGCAGAGCGATAACAAAGTGTGGGAAAAGAAGTAACAGTTGTTTATTTGGCTGAGAAAAGATAAACAGAAGTGGCCAATGGCTGGGTATTTAAAGTTGTCTCAATAATCCTAAAGCCTATTTTTATAAATAGCATTGCTGGCCTGCCAGTACCCTTACGCGACATACACCAGGACCGAACAGAAGGAGCACCTCTGACTTAATGGAAGTGAAAACAGTCCTAAAATGGCAAATGTTTATACCAGCATGTATGTCCTGTGGGGCGTTTCATGCCCGGCTAAACTAGGTGATAGAACTGCCACATCCCAGTATCGGCCTTTCCAGAGACAGAAAGAACTCCTGAATTACAGTCCATGCTCTGGAAGCACACATTTTGAATTGGTCTTCTGGCTGTGATATGGGGAGACTGGCGGCGCTAGTAAGGTGGTATTTTTCTGAGCTGCTGAGGACTGTTTAGTTAGAACTAATGTGGTTGGGTACACTGTTGTTCAAGATATGTGCCAGCCCCTCGGCTGTGGCTGAGGGTATCATGTTCGCTCAGTGCTGACTGGAAACAGCACCAGAGCCGAGTTCTTGGCAAGAGTGGGCTCACACACAAAACGAGGGCTGTACTTCCAAGGTTTTATTCCATGCATTCTTTACACTTTTTTTTCACAGTTTAAAACATAACTTATAGCGTAACACTTACACTGGCCAAGTACTATGATTTGCATATTTATTCTTGAAAAATAGACAAAAGCCTCAGACTCTGGAATCAAACGTTTCCTACCGTAAGTTCAGGACGGGAGCGCTCAAGGTGCAAGGAAGAACATTTTCCCAGGTTAAATGGAAAGCTGAGGGAAGACCCTTTCATGAGACTTTGGGAGACGATTTGACTGACATCTGAGTGTGCTGGAGAGCCCCTAACCGAGCATCCTTTTCCATCTCTCCCCTATTATGAAGCTTGTCAGCCCTGACTTCTGCTGAGCAGAAGAGCAGAGCTCTGAGAAGCAGACGCGTGAAAGAGGACAGGCACATGGGTTCCCAGGGCTCCCCAACTCCAGACCTGTTTCCTGCCAGTGGGCTTTCTGTATGTGAGAGGAGAAAGAAGTCACCAGATTATCACTGAGTCCCTGTCTTCTTGGGTACTCCTCACCGTTTCTTCATGGCTCTGGAAACTGTCCTGGCCTGAGGTCTGGTTCCTCTGCTACCTGGGGAGAGGACACAGGTGTGCGTGTTGACATATGTGTCTACAGGAGGTGGCTTGAGGGTCAGCATCTTGTGTGTGTCAGACGCTAGAGCTGCAAATCAATCGTGTAGGTCAATCGCTTTCTTGGCTTTTTTTTCCTGCTAATTTTTTTACTTTTTGTAGAAACAAGGTCTTGCTATGTTGCCTGGGCTGGCCTTGAACTCCTGGCCTCAAGTGATCCTCCTGCCTTGGCCTCCCAAAGTGCTGGGATGACAGGAGTGAGCCACGTGCCCGGCCACTTTCTTGTCTTCTGAACCAAGAACTGCCCTTGGAGCCCTTCTCTGGATCTCTGACAGTCCCGTGTGAATGTCCCAAAAGATCCCTTCCTGGAGCACTGGAGTCACTGTTCAGGGAAAGGCCTTTACCTGACCTCCAGGCAACTCCTCGCCTGCCACCTCAGAAGCAGAAAAGATGTGGGCGTTGGGGACCTGAACGGAGGGGGAAAAGAAAAGAAGTTTCCAGCACAAAAGACCATTTTGCGTGCAGCTGAAGGCTGGGGACACATCACACCTGGGGTGGTACCTTGCGTCTGCAGCTACGCATCTTGGAGAGCAAAAAGAGAATGGACAGTAAGCTCATGCCTGCTTTTAGACCGTGCTACCTGGAAGCTGGATGGAGGAAGTGTCAGCTAAACATGGCGCCCAACAACCCGAGGGAGAACGGCCAAGGCCAGCTTGGTCCAGTCCCCAGTCTTCCTGGAGCCCAAGACCCCAGGGCAGTGGATCCTTCCCAACACCCAGGACAGTGCTTTCCTGCATAGCTTTCCAGATCCTGAGGAAGCCTCACACTTTTCTCAAGTCGCTCAGAGAGCGCTGTGCATGTGGTGGGCTTCTCTGGACAACCTGACGGGAGGTGGTGAGGGCCAAGTGTTCCTCAGCCCAGGCAGGAGACAGCAAGGGCCTGACTCGGGGCGTGAAGTGTCAGTGATTGAGGGGGAGGGGGACGGCCCCAAGGCCTGAGATGGTGGGTCTTCCAGTCGTCCCGCCGCGGGGCAGGCTTTCACAAGCTGGCACCCTCCAGCTTGGCAGGAGGCCAGACGCTGCCCATAGCACGATGCACTGTTAAGTCTGAGCCACGGGAGGGAAAGTCCAATTGATGCCGGGAATGTCCTGTGGGGCGTTTCATGGGAGGAAGAGAAAGATCATTTTCTCTTTCTTCGTGCCAAAGCTGGCCACTCAGGAGAGCCCTGAGCTCCTCTCCTGAAGCTGCCAGCCACGGGCCTGGCCTCAGGGCAAGTCACCACGCACAGCAGCACCCCCACCCACCCAGTCTCTTCCGCCTCAGTTTCTGGGGCCATCGGTTGTCCAGAAGCCTCACATCTTTTCCCAACAGCTTCCTCGGCTGGCAGGATGCGAGATGGGGCGCTGGTGGCCCGCGGGTGGCGGAGCAGGCGGGACGCAAAGGCACAGAGAGCATGTTCCGGCATTGGTGGCCCGCCCATCTGGGGTGGTCTGGGCCGACAGGAGACCCGGCCAGAGCCCGTGTTGCGAGCGGCCGCCGGCGCCCACACCCCCGTGGGCTGGGTCAGCATGGCCTGAAGCTGCAGCCAAGCGAGCGCCTGGCTCGAAGCCTCCATCACGCTTCTCCTTGCCTCGGGGCGAGGCTACAACGGATGCCCCGTCCCCGGTCTTCAGCTCCGGGCGTCAGGGCTGCCCACTCGAGGCGGTCCCCTTGGGAGTGGCTGCCGTGGCAGGGCCAGGGAGACCAACGCACAGCGGGGGTGGGAGCGCACCTGCTCCTTCCATGGATGGCTTCGTCCCGAGGTAGGAGGGCAGGCGCCCGCCTGCCTAACACTCGACGCCCTGCAGCTCCATCTCCTCGGCTGTGCTCTCTGCAAAGCAAAAGGCAGCCAAGGAGCCACGCAGGGCTGTCTTGGTGGGAGCGGGGGACTCGCGCCACCCGCCTCAGAAGCACGCACGGAGGACCCCGGGGCCCAGGGAGTTACCTTTGAGTCTGTGTCGTCTCCTCCTCTGAAATTTGTATGCACATCTGTTACAAACCCACATGAGGCTGACGAGTACCGCGGCCACAGCAGCAAGAAAGGCGAGGAGGACGGCGACAAAGTGCAGGTCTTCGTAGAGGATCTCTGCGCGTGGGGGCGGGGAGGGGAAGACAACACCTCTTGGAGCGTTGAGGTCAGCTCCCACGCGCGCGCTGGGCGGGGGCGCCGGGCTCCGGCCGTCTTACCCGAGACGTGCAGCACAATGGTGCCAAACTGGCTGCTCCCCAGGCGCTCGGTCACGGTGATGACGTAGGAGCCAGAGTCCCTCACGCCCACACCGAAGAGCTGGAGCGAGCCGTTGTCGAAGGTGCAGACTCTGTCCCTGTGGCTTCGGGAGACGTTGGCCCGCGTCCCCGGCTCCCACTCCACGATCTTCTGCACGCCCCAGGGGGACGTGTACGTCCATTCGATGGTGGGCACGCCGTGACACGAGTACTCAACGGAAAGCAGGATGTCCTCTCTGACGGTGGCGTTGATGGCGGCCTGGGGGATGTACAGGGACACGCCCTGACCTGCAGGAGGACACGCAGGGTGTGGGGCACACTTACGTGAATTTACGCACGAGATCACGGGTCATATTTAGGGAGTGCCTAGGACGGGCCAGGCACTGCTCTGGGTTCTGGTGTGGAAGCTCCCGCGGTGAGCGGGATGCAGGCTCCCTGGAGCTCATTTCCTGGAAGGAGGACATCCTGGGGATAAATAAGCCAGTGCGACAGTTGGAGACCATGGCGGTGCCTTCCAGCGAACGCGTCAGGGGACGGTGACGGCGGGGTGCAGGCAGGACGGCCTGGGAAGACCTCACAGGAAATGGCCTTTGGGCTGAGCCCTGGTGGAGGAGGAAGCGGAGGAGGGGGAGGCGGAGGAGGGGATCCCTGCGGAGGCGCAGAGGGACAGCCTTCCGGGGAAGGAAACCGGCACCGGCTTGCGTGGTGAGGATGAGGAGGGCGCTGTTTGCGGGACAGAAGGCAGGCAGCATGCTGGAATGCGTGCGCAGCGGGGAGGGTTTGGGAGAGGAGGAGGGAGAGCTGGCCGTGAGCCACGTCCAGGGCCGGGCCCTCGGGGACAGAAGTCGCAGGAGGGCTGAGGCAGGAGGACGACGGTCCCCATTAGCTGCTGCTTCCCAAGATGCTCCCCACGTTCACGTGTTGGAGTCCTCATCCCCCATGCAGGTGTCGCATGGGGCCTTTGGGAGGTGGCAAGCTTGTGAGGGCACTGTCCTCATGAGTGGACTACGGCCCAGCTCCTGGGAGCCGGCTCCTGACGGAAAGGCGCGCCCAGCCCCTCCACCCTCCGCCACGGGCAACGCTGCGAGGGCCCTCACAGATACCACCTCTCGGTCCGGACTTCCCGGCCTGCAGAATGTGAGTCCCGTAGACCGCTGCTCATTGTAACCACCCGTCTCAGGGATCCGCCAGAGCAGCCAAAACAGACTAAGACGGGCAAGGGGGAGGCAGAGGAGTGGCTAGTGGCGACTGCAAGCCAGATAGGAGATGGGCATGGCGGCCCAGGAGGTGAGGGGAATGGTCTGATTTAGGGCCTGCATCCGGAAGCAAGGGGGACGGAGCACACCTGGCCGGTTGGATGTGGGGCGGGGAGCAAAGCAGCATCCAGCAGAGATTCCTGCTGAGTCTGCGGATGACAAGTGGTGCCGCCGGCTGGTCTTGTGCACACGAGTGCACGTGTCTGCGTACATGCATGTCGTGAGCGTGCACCGAGCGGGTCGCAGGCACCAGGCTTGGGGCCCCCGCCCAACAGCCATCAGCTCACGAAAGCCTCACACGACCCACGACCACGACGCCGAGGACGCACCCCGAAGAAGCCCAGGCTCGGAGGAGCTCGGGAGCTTGTCCAAGTTCACTGGGCAGGGCTGGGATCCACACCAGGGCCACTGGCGCCCAAGCGCGTCAGCTCAGCCTCGGTGCCAACTCCAAGGCCAGCGGCTGGCAGTGGAGGGCGCAGAAAGTGACCGCGTCCCCACACACCAGAGACGTGGCCAGGGTGGCTGAGACCGGCAGGGAACAGGCAGGACTGAGCGTGGCGCCCGTCCCGGGGCTTCCCCCTCGGCTTCCCGTCAGCCCTTCATGCTCTGGGCACCCCGCTGGCCCCGGGGTCCTGCCGGCTGGCTCCAAGTGGCCACACCTGCTGCCTTCCAGATTGTTCCCACCGTCCTCTCCCATCCTGCGTGGTCTCTCTATGGCCTGGCCAGGTGACTGGAGATAGTCCAGCAAGTTCCACGCGAAAGAGCGGGAAGTCACAAGGGTTTTCAAGAGTTATGGCTGCCAAGTAACAGAAATGGTTTTTCCCCCACACTTTGCATTTTTAAAGATATTAAGGAAAATCTGAAAGTCAGGCTCAGCTAACACCTGTGTACTGTATACCTTCTCCTAGATTCATTAGTTTTCTTTCTTTCTTTTTTTTGGTCAGGAAGAGGTCTTGCTATATTGCCCAGGTTGGTCTTGAACTCCTGGGCTCAAGCAAACCTTCCACCTTAGCCTCCCAATGTGCTGGATTTACAGGTGTGAGCCACCACACCCAGTCACTAATTGTTAACAAATTTCCACATTTGTTTCTCTCTCTCTTTATATATATATTTTAAAAATTTTAAAACTACAACATTAAACAATTTTCTCTCTGAATCATCAGGGTAAGTTGCAGACATCTTGATACTTCACCTAAGAACAAGCTGTTCTACATGACTACGACATCATTATCTATCCAAGACGTTTAACATTGGCCCAATACTTTCTAATATACAGTATATATTCAAACAGCTTTACCTTATTGTCCAAAAGAAACCTTCCTTTTTTTTTTTTTTTTTTTTTTTTTTTTTTTGAGTTGGAGTCTTACTCCATTGCCCAGACTGGAGTGCAATGGCCACTCCCGGTCACCGCAGCCTTGACCTGCTGGGCTCCGGCGATCCTTCCGCCTCAGCCGTCCAAGGAGCTGGAACTACAGGTGTGCGCTGCCACGGCCAGCTAATTTTTGATTTATTGTAGAGACGAGGTCTCGCCAAGATGCCTGGTGCGGGTCTCGAACCCGTGGGCTCAGGCAGTCCACTCACCTTGGCCTCCCAAATTGCTGGGATTACATACTGAGCTACCGAGCCCGGCTCCGCTGGTTTTTAAGCACCATCATTTCCTTGAAGCAATTGCATTTTAACAAGGGCTCTCACGTCTTAAAGGCAGAGAATGGGCAACTTGGGAAATTCTGGCATTGAGAAAGATTAGAGATCATTTTGAACAGGTGATTTTTGCATCCTGTGTTTATATCACAGGGGGTGGCCCCGAGGTCTACTCATGGGTCACCTTTGAAGGCCAGCAGAGTCCTGGCCTGGCGCTGTGCACACCGGGAGCATGATAAAAGAATCACAGACCCTGTGAGGCGGAAGGCACCTTGCTAGCTAACTCCCGACGGAGTGTGGGAGTTCAAAGCGCTCATCTTAGCTGGGCTCGGTGGCTCAGCCTGTAATCCCGCACCTTTGGGAGGCTGAGGTGAGTAGATAGTCTGAGCCTGCGGGTTCGAGACGCGCCTGGGCAACTTGGCGAGACCTCATCTCTACAATAAATCAAAAAATCAGCCGGGCATGGTAGCGCATGCCTGTAATTCCGGCTACTTGGAAGGCTGAGGCGGAAGGATTGCCTGAGCCCAGTCTGGGTGACAGAGTGAGACTCCAGCTCAAAAACAAAACAAAACAAAGCGCTCATCTTTCGGCCTTGGCTTGAAGGCTTCCTTCAGTGACAGCGCTCTACTCACAGGGCAACTTCTTTCCAACTGGGGGAAGCTCTACTTAGAAAATCTTTCACTTCCACCTGAAATCCGCCCCCTCTGTGGCAACGTGGACTACGGAAGTTCTCTTCCAGCACGCAGGAGCCCTTCAGATGCCCAAGGACTCTTCTCAAAGCTCCCTGGACCGCTCCTTCTCATTCAAGCCCTCAACATGCGACATAGTTATTCTTTAACACAGAACAAAGTACAGCGCTTCAGGTTGCTGGAATAAGGAAGAAGGCAGGCAAAATTCCAGGTCAGTCGTGGAGGGCAGGAACTGAGGTGTTCTCTTCATCCCTGTGCCCCTTGCACCCCGCATGAGGCCTGGCACATAGTGGTTGGTCAATAAATATTTGTTGAGTACATGAACAAGTGGATGACCAAATATTTACAGTAAGAAGAAGCGTGAGCCTTTTCCTGATAGGAATGTTGCTGCTTGGGTGGTTTGAAGAGTTAGGCACATCTAAAAGTTACCATTCTTATAGGGAAGAGAAATACATTTAAGTAAAGCTTTCTGTGCCAGCTACAGTTATATTTTATAATCACTATCTCTTATTTTTTACGCGAGCCAGCAACATGCCCACATAGTAAATGGCATATATGTATCTCCATTCATCTCTCAGTGGCCACAGGTAGTTTTCATGTCTTGGCTGCTGACATAAGCTGCAATGAACATGTGGGTGCAGTTATCTCTTTGATAAGCTGATTTCAAGTCCTTTGGATATGCAACATATTCAGTAGGATTGCTGAATAGTGTGGCAGTTCTAGTTTTAATTTTTTTGAGAAATTTCCATACTGTTTTTCATAATGGCCATACCAATACACATTCCCACTGACGGTGTACAAAGATTTCCTTTTCTCCACATCCTTGTAAACATCTGTTATCTTATCTTTTTAATAATAGCCATCCTAATAGGAGTAAGATGATCTCTCATTTTATGTGTGTGTGTGTTTTTTCCTTTGAGACAGGGTCTCACTCTGTTGCACAGGCTGGAGTGCAGTATGATCATAGCTCACTGCAGCCTCAAACTCCTGGACTCAAGCGATCCTCCCACCTCAGCCTCCTGAGTAGCTAGGACTATAGGTGCACAACACCGCATCAGGCAATTTTTTTTGGTTAGAGACAGGGTCTTGAACTCCTGGCCTCAAGCAATCCTCCTGCCTCAGCCTCAGCCTCCCACAGTGCGGTGATCGCGGTTTTGGTTTGTATTTCCCTGTGATTAAGTCCCTTCTCATGTACCTGTTTGTTTTTGTCTTCTTCGGAGAGATGACTCTGCAGGTTCTTTGCCCATTTGGCTTGTTTTTGTTTTACTATTGAGTTGTACGAGTTCCTTATATATTCTGGATATCGCCCTCCTTCCCGGTGTGCAGATGTTTTCTCTAATTCCATAGATTGCATTTTCATTCTGTTGTTCCCTTTGCTGTGCAGGAGCCTTTCAGTTTGATGTTGTCCCACTTAGTTATTTTTGGTTGTGGCTTGTGTTTTTGGCGTTGTATCCAAGAAGTCATTGTGAAGACCAATGCAATGCTAAGGAGCTTTCTCCTGTTCTCTTCTAGGACTTTGATGGTTGTCAGTATCACACTTAAGTGTTTAATCCATTTTGGGTTAATTTCACCAGCCTAGGCTGGGAGTGCAGTGGCACGCTTATGGCTCACCACAGCCTTGATCTCCTGGGCTCAGGTGATCCTTCCACCTTAGCTTTCCAAGTAGCTAGGACTACAGGAATATGCTACCATACCTGGCTAAATTTTGCGTGTGTTTTGCAGAGACAAGGTCTCCCTATGTTGCCTAGGCTGGTGTCGAACTCCTGGGCTCATCTCTGCCTCCCAAAGTGCTGTGATTATAGGTGTGAGCCATTGTGCCTGTCCCCCATTGTGTATTCTTGGCATTCTTGTCAAATATTAGCTGACCATGTATGTTTGGGTTTGTTTCTGGGCTCTGTATTCTGTCCTACTGGTCTGTGTGTCTGTTTTTATGTTAGTGTCATACCCTTCTGATTACTACAGCTCTGAAACATACTTTAAAATCAGAAAGTGTGATGCTTTCAGCTTTGTTCTGTCTCAAGATTGCTTTGGTTATTCAAGGTATTTTGTGATTCCATATGAATTATATTTTCAATTTATGTTAAAAATGTCATTGAAATTTTGAGCCAGGTATGGCGGCTCACACCTGTAATCCCAGCACTTTGGGAAGTGGAGGTAAGAGGATTG